CATAATGATTCTGCAATATTTTTATATTTGGGAGGAATGAATCAACATTATTTAAAAATAAGATAGCCTTAGTTCTGATTTTTCAAGCAATCAGACAAATCAAAAGAATCTAGCAGTTACGTGGATAACTGTATCAATGGTTAAGTTTTATTTTCTGGTACGGTTCTAAGGATAGGAAATGAGTTTCACTTTGGGTCACTCAAACAGCTCGATGTGGCTGCCTCATGTCCTGGATGGGAAAGGCTCACGGCCAGGCTGGAGGGAAGGAAACAGTCTGGGGCGGCTCGGTGGTGGCACAGTTAGGAGTACTGGTAGTGTGTGTGTCAAGTAGCTGACAGTTAAAGTTATCCCCAAGAAACTTCCGGCATAATTCTGGGTCCATGATGCCAATTAAAAAGTAGTCTAGAATGTCCTTAGGTTCAACGGTTTCACAGCTACTTTGAAATGTGTGTTCGATATGGCCCAGCAATCCAATTACGTTTTCCTGGAATGTTTGCTATGTCTCTCCAAAATGACTCCTTCACAACTTTTCTTCTCTCCTTAAACCTCCCCCAGCCCCTGCCGCTTCCTCCCCGGCACTGATGGTCCTGCCTCACATTTTACTGAGGAAATCAAAGCAATCAGCCAGGAGTTCCAGCCCACCTTCTTCTTCCTACTTCCAAGAGCACAGGCCACCAGCATCTTCACCCTGCAAGCTCTGCTTCCCCCTGGCACTGCGTACCAGGTGCCTTGTTTCCTACTAGAAGTCACCCCACTCCTCTGGCCTTCTCAGGTACTCTGCTTCAAAATTATCCCCTAACGGTATCATCAGGTTCTCTCTCTATAAGGGATCATTTTCACCTGCAAAAGTCTCCAATAGCTGCCATCTTAAAAAATAAATATCTTTTTTATTTTTTTTAGTTTCTCAACCCAGGAGAGAAAAATTGAATTGAAAAAATGAAAAATTAAGAAAATGTTAATGGTCTTATTGTTAAAATCTCTGACAACCTGAATCCACATAGTGACTGAGATAATATCATTTTTTTTAATCACCAGGGGGAACTATCCCCCAAAATCATTATGACAGGCCCTCTGACCGAGATAATTCCGATACTGGTTCCCTAAACAGAAGAGAGCAGAAAGGGAGGATTATGCTTAGAGCTGACAAAGCAACAGTAGGTATGTGATGAGCAGCTTTGGTTTCTGTGTGCACATGGGCAAAATGAAGAATAATGGGCAAGAATAATTCAGTTCATATATAAAAGGGCTCTTTAAAAATCTCATAGTCTGGAATACCGAAACGCTTTTAGCATAGGACATTGTGATTCATTTCTTATATACTACAATGACTTTATAATATTTATTTGTGTATTTATTTAATTAAAAATAATGCCAGCTCATGAGAAAGACGTATGTGAGTACTAGCAGAAGCTGTAAGATAAAAAAATAAAGTTAGCCCCATTTTAACATTTTCTTGTGGTATCCCTTGAGAAACATTTTTATCCTTTTATCAGCCTATATACTCCTTTCCATATTCATACCTGGCATCATTCTATACACAAAGTTCTGCAACCTGCTTTTGCACATAATGACATACTTCAAAGATCCTCTGTGACAGCACATATCACATTCGTATTAACAGCTGCACAATATTCTATGTCATGGAAATTACCTGTATTTACCAAGTCCCACCAATAGACACGTTACAGATTCCCACTTTTTGCTCACTAAAAACAATGATACACACAGCCATGCTTGGATGTGTGTGTGTGTCTGTGTCCTGTAGTGTTTTTGTGAGTCTATTTATGGGATAAATTCCAAGCAGTAGAATTGTTAAGACAATGTGTGTGTGTGTGTGTGTGTGTGTGTGTGTGTGTGTGTGTGTGTGTGTATAAACTTGGGTGGATACAGCTAAAGTGCCCTCCAAAGGGGCTATACCAATTTATACTTCTGACCCACACCCTGATTTTCTAAGAGTGTAGGTTTCCATCTTTTAAGAGAGAGGTTGAGGTTCTTTTCTTATATTTATAATTTTGGGGTTTTTTTCGCCTTATATTCCTTGTTCATAGCTTTTGGCAACCTGCCTTTTGGGGCAGTTTCTTTATCCATTCAGAACAGGTCCTACAAATTAAGGAATTGGCCCTGTATCATGTACTTGGCAATTTTTTCTTCTAATGTGCTGTTTTTGACTTTGTTTCTGGAATTTTTTTCAAACATAAAGGTTTTTTAGGGTGGTTTTTATTTTTTGGCAGTCAAATTTATTGATCTTTTTCTTTATGGCTTCCACAGGTTTTTTTTGTGTGTGTGTCCTACTTAGAAGGCTCTCCCCACTCTAAGACTATAAATATATTCATCATAAGCACTTTTTGAAACAAAAATTTCAGAAAAGTAATACAAACGGTCTGGCAATCCAAGCTGCTTCTGATGGGAACAATAATCAGAACTGATTTATAAATATGCTTTGTTCAAGCTGACCTGAGACTCGACTTCCACAGCTGTTGTTACCCTGGCAGGTAGAAAGAGACACCACTCGGCTGCACGGTCTGAAGCTCCCAAACCCTGAGCTGCTCTGAAGCTCACACACCTTTGCACACATTCTCTGGGTGTGCTCCTGGCTGTGTTTTTATGATACTGGGGAGATGGATAAAGGTACCACAGCACAAAGACACGCATGTTTAAGATGCCGCGAGGGAGACTGCCTAAGGATTTACTACGCAGCGGAGGACCGCCAGCCAAGTACAAGGGCTTTTACAAGAAAAACAGTGCAGGTTTTTTGTTCAGATCTTTTTGTATTAATACCTATTTCGCTACAAACAATCCAGAAAGGACCGTTCTGTGATAAAGGCAGACAGAAAACAAATTCATCAATCGACAGAAAGACCACCTTTGGCAGAGTGGAGGTAAAACTCACCACAGCCCACATTGCCTAACAAGGGAACTACACGCATGTGTGTGCATGTGCGTGTGTGTGCATGCGTGTGTCTGTTCATGCACATGTGTACCCACGTGGGTGTGGATATGTCCTTATGTGGCTGCAGGGAAAGTTCAGCTAAGGTAGATGGAGGGACTTTAAAAAGTAGTGTAACACCATTTGCTGTGTTCTTTATGGTACTCTAATACTTCCTAACAAACTTGACGGAGATAGTTTTTTTTTAACATATTTTTATCATGTATATAAAAAGTGAAAAGAAAGCATGTGTGACCCATATTTTTTGGTTAAATGCAAAATAATAAAAAACAATCTGTTATATTAGCACAGATGACCTTTAGAGATCCCAAATACCTCGCTTATAATTTCCCAATTCTAGACCCTGTGGCTATAGCCAAACCACAGGGTGATTGCTTAAAATGCAGATTTTAGGGCCCCATCCCCAGATACTGAAATCCAGCTCCTCGATAAAGGCCCAGACTCCAGCATTTGTAAAGTTCCACAACTGATCCAGGTTGGGAACCGCTACTCTTTGAAAAAATGTAAACCTGTCTCTTGTAGGTGGGCTCCCATTTTTTAACAGTGCCCTGTACACTGGCTTTCGATCTTTCCATTCATAGAGCTGGGAACGTGAGCATTGTTATCTGAAGAACACAAATTCCACCGTCCCTGATGACAAGTCATGCCAGGGTATTAGTATGGTCACTTGCAGATGCTGAGAAACTTCACCCTGCCCAACGCTAACCTTCTTTCAAAGAGCGACTCAGATTGGAAACTTTGTTCATGAACCCACAGCAATAAAAAAGAGCACTGAATCCTTAGCTGGGCCTTTCTGAGTCTAAGATGAAATAAGAGACAAGGTGTACTCTTTCTGCCCAGCACACAGATGAGTGCTTTTCGCAGAATAAATAGGAACCAAATGAAACGATGGTCTCTAAAGGTCAAATTAACATTAATTCATGCTGACTCAAGTAAGAATACCAATGCAAAGGCAGACAAAAACATCTCAGATCATCATGTAGCCACTGACAAATGAGTAAAAATTATAATTTCCATTAAGAGGCAGAGGAAGCAAGGAAGATAGTTCAGGCAACTCCAGGTGTGTGTTCAACTGAGCTCATCACGTTGTTTAGGTTTGAGATGGTACTGGGTAAAATGTTTAGGAGTTTTTAAGACTCTCTAATTTAATTTTCAGCAGTAAGGATTGGTGGTAGTCACAGTACCCGCAGTTTAGTTTTAGCCAGATGCTCTTCCCAATTTTTTTATTTATTTTTAGCCTACCACATGGCTTCAGTAGAAACTGAAAATGATAGTTAGACACAGTTTCCATCACTTACGCAGAGTGAAAATAGTAACACTTGGTGTATTTTGTGTAGATTATTTTTTAGGAAAGCAATAAAATGCACTGTGAAATGATATAGTTTAGATATGCTAATGTTACCACCCAAAGTGTCTACAAGCAAGTAGGAAAGAGCAAGAAAAGCTCCATCGTCAGCTACAATAGCCTAAAAATACTGCGGCATCTTAGCAGCTTTTATTCAGAATATTTTAAAGTTCTTTATCTAGAATCAGCTGTCAATGAAACAGTGTAAATGGGCAACATTTCTAAATGGTATTTTTATGAATTGTCTTAATAACTGACCGAAGCTAGAAAATGCTTAAATTCTCCTCTCTTTATCTCTTCCACACACGCACACATACACACACACTCTCTCTGACTTTACAGGGAAGTAACAGGCCGTCTTTGGTTTTGTCTGTTTGTTGTCTAGATTTGCTCAGATGGCAATAGGTGGACGTGTGGGCAGATGGGCAAAACCAATCAGCATAGCTGTAAGATGTGAATTATTGAGGTGACCACCCAACTTAAACCTTAAAGGTTTCACAGGTAACTAACTTGCTCTTAACCTGGAATAAAGTCTTTCTCTTTCATAATATGGCATTCCTGCTAATCCAGAATCTGCCTGCGAGGACATTCCAGAGACCTTCTGTTTTGCACTGAAGTCACCCTCAAAAATTAGTATCCCGTAATCACATATAGCAGAACTGGAGGGCAAAGAGTTTATTGGGAAGCTATAAACTAAGATTGACTTACTGGAGATGTGGTTAATCGAAGGATAGTGCCATTTTTTATTTCATTGCGATTCTGGAAAAGAAAACAAAAGTCTTTGTAAATCTTCAAGTAGAAGCTGGGTAAAGAAGAGAACAAAGGTAAATATAATCTAGTAGATACTCTATATAATAAGCATTCTTACAATTCAGTTTATTTCCACTTGAGTACTTTTCTTTTTTTTTTTTTTTTTGAGACAGGATTTCGCTCTGTTGGCTGGACTAGAGTGCAGTGGCATCATCATAGCTCACAGCAACCTCAAACTCCTGGGCTGAAACGAACCTCCTGCCTCAGCCTCCCGAGTAGCTGGGACTACAGGTGTGCACCACCACTCCCAGCTAACCACTCGAGTAATTTTTTAATTATTTCTATAAACAATGTTAACTTTCTATCAAGTCACTAACAACACTCAGCACAGAGAAAGTGAATATAAACCCAAAGAAAAGGGATATGGGGCCCCAAGAATAACAAACAGAAAAAGTGATTTTAAAAGGTTACCAAGGGCATATGACCCAGCAATTCCACTCCTACCTATATATTCAAGAGATTTGAAAACCTATTGCACAAAAAAATTGTGCACTGATATTCACCAAAACACTACCCATAATAATAACCAAAAAGTAGGAACAACCCACATGTCCATCTACTTAAGAATGGATAAACAAAATGTGGTAAATCCACCCCATGGAAAATTAGCAGGTCACAAACAGGAGTGAAGCACTGATACATGCTACAACACGGATGAGCCCCGAAATCATCACACTAAGCGAAACATGCCAGACACAAAGGCCGCATATTACATAATTCCATGTCTATGAAATGCCTAGAATAGGCAAATCAGTAGAAATAGGCATCGGATAAGTGGCTGCTAAGGCGGGGGGAGGGAGGAGATGGGAACAGCTGCTTAATGAGTCCAGCTTTTCTTTTGCGGTAATGCAAACGTTTTGGAACTAGATAGGTGACGGTTGCACCACACTGTAAATGTACCAAACGCCCCAAAGTGAACACCTTTAAAAGGTCTGTTTTTGTGGAGTATATCTCAATAAAGCTGTTAGTTCTTTAAGGTTATTAAGGAGCTTGGTTTCTTAACATTGGCTGGTTCCTTCTGCGTGACACCTTGAAGTTAAGAACAAACAGCATAAATGAGAAGACCTCAAATCGGTCTGTCTCCACTTGGCAAGTATATTTAAGGTGATTTTTTTGAAGCTGTCACTTAGCATCTTCGGCTTTGAAGGCAGAATTTCACTGGCAGTTTTACTGTCTTCCATTGCGGTACACAACGTGCTCAGTCTCCAGGAGGTGACCTTCTAGGACTTACCTTGGCTGCATCCCCTACCTGGAGCACTGAGGCCAGGAGGTTGATAAACGTACCTCGAGGATCACTCTCTCGCATAGTTTAAGACAAGCCACGAGCTGGAATTTGCTCAGGATGCAGCAGGCACACTGAGGTGGTGGGAAATTTCTCAGTCAGATGCCCAAGACACAGAAGATCGCTTGATCCCTCAACCAATTCTGGCTACTTATTGGACAATAAATTTTCCAAAAAATGTGCCTAAAAGGGGGCAGGCTTCAGGCCAGTACCCCTCCCAATGACGACTACATCTGAACATCTCACGTCAAGTGCAGGCAGGCCTGCAAACCCAACACAGCCGGATCCAAACCCTACGTGGTCAGTTCAGCCCAGCGCAGAGCAGGCCCAGACAACCCAGGCCACCTCTGGAGAAAGCCAGCTCCTTGTCACCGGGAATGTGCAAGTATGTGCTGACCGGCATTTGGCAGGTAGGTCGGGTACGAGAAGGAGAAATGAATCCAAGTCATTTTTAAAACCTTGTTTGAACTCTAAAATCCTATGACTTTACGAGAACTGAAGACGACGGCAAATACTAATTATAGAGTACTAAGAAAGCTGAATACACAGCATATGTCTTCTTCGCTCAGGTTAAACAAATCGAGAAAATAAGAGAAGGTGGAGAACAAAAATATCCTCTAAATGAGTGACTATGGAGAGCACGGCTCAGAGGGCCACCAGCAGACGTGCTGACTGAACCCTCTGGGCAGGGACACCCCGTTCAGGCAAGACTTAAGGCATGTTGCTTTCCAAGAGGGAAAAACGGCCCAGTTTGTTCTGCCCACATTTTCCAATCACACAGGGAGAGAGGCCCTGAGGGTATGTAGAGGCCAGGAGGGTTTAGAAATAATCTCTCCTCCTGGAAATTTGGAATTATGAAGAGGCATTCCCAATAATAGCAATAAACTAACAGTGATTGAAAGGCGCTGGACTGGGGTTTTTGGTTTTCATGCTTATTTAATCATCATAATAACTCTAAGCCCATGTTAAAGATTAGAAAGCAAAGCCACTGCGAGGATAAGTTATTTTCCCAACATTGTGGAGAAGTATAGGAGAAAAGACTGGAACCTTGGCAATCTGACATGAGAGGTAAGACCCAGATCCTGCATTTATCCTTAGAGGGGCTGGTTCATCAGTAGGTCAAACACACGAGAACACAGAAGTAAGACTGGCGTTAAGGAGTGCTCTGCAGATTCCCACGGCTTCCTCGCCGCACCCTGGGCTGTCTGTGGGTGCTGGGTGGAAAGAGGGCCAGGGGAAAGTAAGCGGTTGGCTTCGAAGCTTCCACATGGACTCCTGCGAGGTTCACTCCTTACTTTCTGGGACCCAAGCAAGATTGATTTGAAGAAAAGATCTTGAGAACTGTGTATTGCCCTGATTGTTTGAAACCAAAGCATTATTTTTATTTATTTTTCTTATTATTGTTTTTGTTAAAATAGAGACAGGGTCTCACTGTGTTGCCCAGGCTTGTCTCAAATTCCTGGACTTATGCAATCCTCCTGCCCTGGCCTCCCAAAGTGCTAGGATTACAGGCATGAGCCACCACATCCGGCCCTAAAGAATTATTAAAACCTCTGATAGAATCCTAGCCCTCTGGGAGGCCAAGGCGGGCAGATTGTTTGAGTTCAGGAGTTCGAGACGAGCCTGAGCAAGAGCAAGACCCCGTCTCTACTAAAAAAATAGAAAGAAATTAGCTGGACAACTAAAAATACATATACAAAAAATTAGCCGTGCATGGTGGCGCGTGCCTGTAGTCCCAGCTACTCAGGAGGCTGAGGCAGCAGGATCGCTTGAGCCCAGGAGTTTGAGGTTGCTGTGAGCTAGGCTGAAGCCATGGCACTCTAGCCTGGGCAACAGAGTGAGACTCTGTCTCAAAAAAAAAAAAAACCTCTGATAGAGCTGGGTTCAAATTCCTGCTGTGCTTTGTACCAGCTGTGCGGACTCAGTGCAAGCTACTTAGCCACTCTGACCTATGCTTTCCTTCCCTAAAGCGGGAGGAACAATGCATTGCTTAGAGAGGTGCGGAAAGAACAAGAGGTGACATATGCACTGTGTCTAGCCCAGAATTGGCTCAAGAATGGTAATGATTTCTGCTGTTCCAGAAAACGCCATCCCTTCTGCCTGTGCCTTCTCAGTCAACAGTTCATTCACCTTCTCTTACTTCCTTCCCCCATGTTTTATAATCAGTGTTTTGTATTTTGGAAGAAAAGGAGATATTTTCAAGAACTTCTAATATATGCATTAAAAGCTTTAAGGTCCTGACAGAAATGTAGATCAAACTCAGAGAGAGCAGCTTGGCAGACCTGCTTCTGAGACTATATTCTATCAGGAAAATCAACTGGATCATCCCTCTTTCACCATGTGCTGATGACACCTTTGGCTCTGTAAGAAAGGCCTAACTTGGGGCCGGGCACAGTGGCTCAGCCTATAATCCCAATGCTTTGGTTGTCCAAGGCCGGAACATCTCTTGAACCCAGCAGTTCAAGACCAACCTGGGCAGCATAGTGAGATCCTCCATCTCTATAAAAAATTTAAAAAAACAATAGCTGGGCATGGTGGTACACACCTGTAGTCCCAGCTACTCAGGAGGCTGAGGCAGGAGGATCGCTTGAGCCCAGGGTTTCAAGACTGCAGTGAGCTATGAGCACACACTGCACTCCAGCCTGGGTGACAGAGTAAGACCCCATCTCTTAGGAAAGAAAAAAAAGAAAGGCCTAACTTGGAATGCAAACTTCATTAGCAAAAGAAAAAGCCTGCCATTGCTCTGATTTCATAAATTCTACCCAGACAGAGTAGAGCATTGATTAAAAGCAATGGGACCACCTGGATTGAACATAAATTTACCTCCTACCTGAGAAACATGGTGCAAGTGGCATGGCTGTCCTCTGTCCCAGCCTCCTCATATGAAAAATGGGGAGTGCCTATTTCCTAAGGTTATTCTGAGACTAAATGAGATAACCCATTTAAAGTGCTCAGAGTAGTGCCCAGCACATTGCAAATGCTAAAAGTAAAATAAAATAAAATAAAAATTAATTAACTGTTTACCATTAAGGACAAAAATAACATCCTAAAAGCATATTTCTGTACCCTTATTTGTTTTTAGCTAGCCCCTACACATAACCTGGTAAATAAAAGTAATAGTGCAATCTGTGTTACTCGAAAGACACAAGCACATATCTAGCAGAATAAATATTAGCAAATGTGCCCCCCTTCTATAAGCAGACCAGTATGGCTAAGTAGGAATTTTGCCTTTAGCAGGCTGGGAGTCTCTCACTTTTTTATCCTACTCAGTTCTCTGTCTGTGTCAGAGAAGCATTCCTTGATACAGTCTTCCAAGCATCCAGTAAGCACTGTGTGTGTGTGTGTGTGTGTGTGTGTGTGTGTGTGTGTGTGTGTGATTTCACTTATTTATCTTGTTCACGGGCTGTCTCCTTCCACCCCCCCAGATGTCACCTCCATGAGAGCAGATGGTTTGCCACTACTATATCGCTCCTATCTAGAACAGTGGGACATCTCCAGCCTGGCACACGGCTGCCAGTCAAAAACTATCTGTTGAATAAATGGCTAAACCTCCTATATGCCAGGCCACAGATAAGGCACCACGTCAGATACAAAGTAAAACAGGATGAACTCCTGTCCTCTAGGAATTCAATAAAGTGAGAGAGACTGATGCGTAATAATTAAATTT